ACCATTTTTATGAAACTTAGCCATTTTGTAATGCCGATTGCTGAGGAATGGAAAAAGATAGAAACCATTTTTTTTTCTGCTGAAAGAAGAGAGTCCAAACTTTATTTTGGTAGGCTTCATGTTTATATATCATTACAACCAAATATTCTGTGGGCCTTGCAAGATCAGTCAAAATCCAGTCAAACTTTGGGATTGAGGGGGTTGCTACAGTGAAAATGGCTGGGATTGAATGAGTTAAAGGACCGGCCTTTAAGGTGTGATGGATAAATACAATAAATATTATGATATGACCTGCATGAAAACTGTGGTATTTTCGAAACATAATAATCAACACAAATCATGACACGAGGAACGTCTTATCTGGCCACAACACTCTCTGGTTGCTATGGTAACGTTTAAATGTGTCTTCAAAATAAGATACACCGCAAATACAAAGTGCATGACAAACAGGACTCAGCATCGCCACATTTTTTGCAGAGTGGGCTTAGTGCGAGGGAATCTCCCATTGAGATACATCCCTATTTGAAGTAGGACTCCTTATACTGTCTATTAAATGTGGCCTTCTTTGTCTTGAAAGTCGTAGGCTCCTATTCTGTCTCCTGGCGGAGCCTTTTCCCCTCCCCAAAGGCATTTGTTTTTTACTCATTTTGCTGTCTACTAGATTTGATTTTAGTGGTAAACTATCACGTGACCGAGAAGCACGCCTTGACCTGCATCAAGAGTGACATACTGTAGACCAGTGTTTTTCAATCTTTTTTGAGCCAAGGCACATCTTTCATTGAAAAAATCCCATGGCACACCACTACCTGAAAATGTGAAAAAAAGGGCTTATTTTAACAATTAAGTGTTTTCTTAACACTGAAAATTAACGCAATATTTTAACACATTGAATAGGAATCAAATCAAGCTCAATCCAATATCTGGTGTGTTCATTTTAATGGCAAGTAAAATATAGTCAATTAGAACTTTAACTTGCTCAGGGTCGTTTTTTTTTCTGTGTGACAGACGGTTCTTTTTCTCCCGGTCGTTTGCACTCTTCCGCAATATTGTACCAATCCCTTTTCCCATCTTGAGTCTTTGTATAATTCCAACATCATTCAAATGACTTTTCTGCTGAATGTGTCGCTTGAGGTAGTCCAGCTTCCATTTAGTCCATATTTATCCATTGGAAAATTCGCTGACAACTTTAGCTTTGCTGCATGTTTTGCAGAGCATACCCTTTTCACTCGAAAAAGAAAACATCTCACTCAGTTTCACTGCTTGTTCTTCTATTTTCACATACTCCGACAGCCATTCCAACAACTGCAGTTCATTCTTATTTTGGTTTGGGGAGTTGACGTATCACATTCACTGCCCGGTCGTTTCACCATGACAAGGGATTAGCTTTAGCGTCATTTATCGCCGCCGCACTGTTATTGTTATGGAGGAGAGAACAAGCCTAAGTACTGTCAATGCCGTGATTGGCTGCAAAGCGTCATTGCATCGCATTGTGTGATTGGCTGGACACCTGTCACTCACTGAATTATACAGCAAATTGATACAGAAAAAAGTTATACAGTATATCTAATTAATTGTCAGTGCGTTCATGACGCTGGATAGGTTTTCTTGTGCGCTGAGAGTGTGCGGCCAGTACGCAGTTGCGCAGCTTAGAGGGAACATTGATGCCGTTGCATCTCCGGTAAAAGTAAATCCAAATGAAAGAGAGCTTTCGTTGTATTGGCTCGTTTATCGTAGTTGCTTGTTATTGATGATACGAGGGTAGCCTGTACTACCGGAGACAAATTCCTTGTGTTCTACATACTTGGCCAATAAAGATGATTCTGATTCTGATTCTGATTGTATGGGGTTTATTTCAAATTTAATGGGTAGGATGTAAATTGTACATCCTATCAGGCGTGCCCATTATGTCGATCCTGATCTACCGGTAGATCTAGGACTCGTCCCAATTAGATCCGAAAGATGTTGAGGAGAAAAAAAAAACATTTGTGTGTGTTTGTACGTGTTAGAAATATATGTTTTGTGTTAATGCACACTGCACCCTAATCATCCTATCAGTCTCATTTTCCCAAAGAAAGATTTTAAAAATAAAATAAAATAAAGCAGGTAAATCTTTAACCTATGGTGGCGCGTGACTACGTCAGCGGAACTTGTGAGCGCTCAGCAGTCTGCAATTGCAGCTTGTGATCAGAGCTGTTGCGCTATATCTTTGATCGTCATTATTCTCATTCAGAGTTTTCTTCGTGTGCAATTCACCGAGGGCACGGGCAAAGAATAGGAATCTAGAGGGCTGAGGGAAGCACTTTAAAATGGTACGTGTGTGCTACGATAGTCAAGAGGCTGCAAAAGTGCATCTCTTGCTTCCGTGTTTGGCTTCTCATCATGGTGCGCGTGCGTACGTGTGCGCGCGCACGCGCGCGCGTGTTTGTGTGTGTGTGTGTGTGTGTGTGTGTGTGCGTGTGTGCGCGCGCGCGTGCGTGTGCGATCCCGGGAGGTTGGTTGAACGAAAAGTAGATCTTCGGTCCAAAAAGTTTGGGCACCCCTGATTGTAAAATTTCCGATAATTGTGGAATGACACATTTATTTTCATGCATAGGACTAGAAAATGATGTCCCTTATCCACTTTTAAATTGTGTACAACCTTTGTACATGTCCCAATTAAATTAATCCAAATTTGTTTTGGATTAACTTGTCCCCTCACTTGATTCATTGAAGGCCTTTGGGTGGCGTATTGTTGCAACTCGTGACATCAACGCTTGAGACGATACAGAAATTGGAAATTGAAGCACCATTCACTCTTTTGACAAAGAAATGCAACAAGTGAAAAAGGCGATGATAAATGAAAAGAGTGGCTTTTCTTGCGCTGGCTCTCGGCAAAGGCTTTTTACGATGGTCCCTCCCGCCCCCATTTACACCTCTGCTTTGCTTACTTTGTCTAATGTGCTGTCTTCTGCCTTGTTATCGCTTCCATATTCTTTTTTTCTTCCGAAAAGACAAACCAAACCATTGAATTAGTCAGCTGGACTCTCAGCACTATGGAAAAAAAAAATGACGAAAAGAGCAGGCGGTGGGAAGCCTTCTTGCCCCTCTGGGACATATGCTGCTAGGTACACCTTAGATCCTTGGCTGAAGTGGAGAATGCTGTGCTTGATGATATTGTCCGTAGAGAATGTGGAACATTATTGGACTTTTGATAACAGGTATCCTGCAGTTTGGAATGAGCGGTTTCCTGATCTATAGCAAAATTCAACCGGTTGCTTCAGCTTCATTGGAAGATCACAAGATGGCAGCCTTCATGGATAGAATGGGGCGGGTGATCAACACTCAGACTCATGCGTCGACTGAACTCAACCACAAAGTGGATGTGGTGTTGGAGTCGCTTCGCAAAATGGAAAAGACCAGGAGGAGTTGTACTGTCCTGGAAAATTGATTGACTGAATGATCGAGAATTCAGCAGATTGATGCCACGGAGAGTCACGTGCAAAAAGACATTCCAGGCTGTCTGAAATTGCTGAGGGACTGTACCCAAAACAATTGTTATCTGGACTTTCTCTGGATGGAAACATACGGATGCAAATCCTATCCCCCTATTT